TTATAAATAAATTAGTGCTGCTTGAAAGATATAACTAGCAAGCACAATTCTTAAAAAGACGAAGTAGCGGATGTATTGTTTTCAACTTAATAAAGATAATGGAAGAAGCTTATAATTACTTCAGCTGATCTCTTGAAACTGCTGTTTAGTTGAGTGAATAAAATATTTTAACTGCCTTTCCCATCACCAGCTATAGATTACTTATTATATGCAATTTCAGTAGAGAACTGATAATTCAAATAATTTAATTTTTTTTCAGCTTTTGTCAGCTATAGCCTTTACTGAAAAACTAGTCAGTTTAAAAAAAATCTAGAATACATAATATCTGAGTGAATTGGATGGTCATAAAAAATGCAAGAGAGATGGTATCTTACGCTTATTTAAAATACTACTATGTATTGAAGTGTATAAAGTTTAGATTCTTTTCAAATACACAACAATGTTTGCCTTGCATCGTTTTTTATTTCATAGTTGCATATTTTTTCGTGAAAGTGTTAAGGATTTACATCGAAATCACAAAAATGAATATTAAAAGTAATTTTCAAGAATATCAGTTGACCTACGAAGTGCTATAATATGTAACTTAAATTGGCACTTTTTCATCACTTTTATAAATGAAACCAAACAACTTGCAACAATATACTTTCCAGTATTACTGTCATGCATATAACTGCTACTGTTACCATAAATAGAGTTTCAATGCAATATTTAATTAAAAAACTGTAAAACAATGAGCCAGTAGTCATTCATATTCCAACTATTATATTATCTGAAAGGAGTACTTTAAACTTACGACAAAACCATTGCACATCTTATTTTAGTATGAAAAAATGGACAAGAACAAGCGGCAATAAATGAAATTTTAAACACTTGAGGAAAAAAGGGTAAAAACGAAAATTCAACATTTCAGAAGTCAAATTTTTTTTGAATATTTTAAAACATTGCTAGCTTGATATCACTTAAATCTGTGTTAATAAAAAATATTAGCTAGTACATCATAAGGTAGACGAGTTCATATCGATTCCATCAACTTCATATCTAAGTTTTACAAATAATTTAAGACTTATATTTGCATACATTTTTCTGTATATTCTGCTTAATTCTAAAAAGACTTCATTCACTATACCTCCTAAGATTAAATTTTACAGTAATAATTGCAAAATAAATTAGTGTAAAACGTGCAATCGTTTCAACATCATGTTCTATCACGTCGTTCAATATCATGATTAAAAGAAACAATACATTTTTGCAAATAAACAATGAAATAATTTAATTTTTTTTTTCGATTTTCTATCGCTTTTGATCGAAACTTGATGACGATAAAACATGAAACATCTCTTAACACTTATTTCTTACCTATTTACCTTACTTAATTATATATCTATCTATCTACCCATCACTTACTACCATCTAATCTAGTCTTTCCTTTCTTCTGATGCATACTTTTCAGAACACAATGATTGTCACATATATCAAAATGTAACCAACCACATTATTAATTAAATAAGAACAACAACAAAAAAACAATAACAAATAAGTATATAAACACAGAATGAATATTATTTGAATTATTACTTAATTTCACTTTAACTTGACAGGTATGCTCTCCTTACTAAAAAATAATAAATAAACAAATAAACAAATAAAATCTGGTCATTTTTTGTCACCTCAAACACATCACTCAACTACTGCTCTTTTTCTATTGTTGAGTTTTTTCTAATTTTTTTTCTTTTCCTACTAACACGTATACTCCATCTTTTGTTAGGCTTTGAAAATGAGCCATCGATTTAAGTGACATCATTACATTATTGTGTTGCAAAATTTTGAATACATCTAAACTGATGAATTACGACAAGTTCATTAATTACTTCTTATATTTTTATCTACATAATTAAGTGACGTCTGATAGATTGCAACAATTTGTGGCACTACAAAAAAACTTTACAATTAATAACATAATGATTGAAAAAATTGAAGAAAGTTTACAATAATTGCAAAAATCTACAAGTACTTAATTAAAAAGTCGAGAAAATTTGAATAAATTTAAAAGTGTATAATTTCAGAGTGTGTAATGCAATAAATTCATAATTAATTGAGTGACCGATTTAGATACTTTACTTTGAACTGTTTCAATTTACAACTATCTAAATGACAACATTCTAATCAAAATGATACTATTAATGGATTAACAGATTATTAAGTAAGAAATCGATTTAAAAATATAATAATTCATATCAGTAGCTGACAAACGTATAAAATTTTGCACTTCAAAATAAATAGAAAATTAAACAATTATTGAAAATTTAGAAATTAAACAATTTTTTGTTAATAATTAATGAATAGCACGTTGTTCATACAACATACGACTAATCAAGCAAATACTACACGAAATAACAACTGCTTTAATATGGAATTTATCCATTAATAACGATTGTATTTTAGACTTAACAGTAGCTTAAAATTTACAGTGAGTGGTCAGTAATCGAATAATTGATTGACTGATATTAATTATCAATAACCAAAAACATTATATTTTATTAGAGTAGAGAAATCAGTTATTAAAATGCTGATTATTTCATTCAAGTACTTAAACACAACATTTGATTATTTTTCCATTTTTTTAAAAAATTTGTTCAGAACAACCTGCAATTACAGTCACTTCAAATTGCTTCTAACTTTTACTACCAAACAAACTCTAACATCATTTTGGTATAATAATTATTTATGCAAAGCGTTGTAAAAAAGGTAATTATGCGAACATTACAAAAAAGTTTTACCACTGCTAGCATTCATTTTTCCCTACGTACGCTGTAAGAACAATTTATTCCAATCTATGAATCCCATAATTAGCCCAAAAATACGCCCAATATTTTTTGCTTTCATATTTTCTAGCGTTGTTTATGTGCAACATACAGTATTTCCGCTGCTAAAAATGAATTTTTTCTCGATCATCTATCTCATCGCTAGAAATATATGCTAATCATAATTTTTTTTCTTGTCCATAATTTCTATTATTTTATAAATGTTAGCTTTACGTCAGCACAGTCCCACGTTAAATATATTAGTTATATTTATTATCATAATAATTCAGTGAGATGAGCCTGTATATAATAATGAAGTACTGTTTGACATACTCAATTCAGTGAGATTGGCCTGTGTGTTACGAAGTACTGACTGATATACTGATATTATTTGTACTCAACTTTTGTGCGTTTTTTTACATGATGCTTTGGTAATTTTCCATATAGGTAGGAAAAAAAATCATATCACACATAATGGAATTCTTATCAGCTCATATTCATATTTGTTATTCATCCTTGCGCATCAACTATTGTTGATTCTCAAAGAACCATAATAAATAACGCTATAAAAAAGTATGACAAATTTAAACCACATTTACTACTGCATTAAGTTGAGTATTTGTTTTGAAAAAACCAAATATATTTATCATAAACAAGTTTTTAGGCATTTCCAGAAAAACATCACAAAATAACAAGTAGAAGCAAACGATAAGCAGATTCTTTACAATAATAATGGATGATAACCATCTCAGACCTATCAAACACACACAGAGACTAAACTCCATTTTCTATTGTTATTCAAATTACTTAATAAACACAACACCAATTATAAAAAGTTGTAACATTACCACTATTAAGTAACAACGTGATTCCCTAACGAAGTAATTCAGACTTAATAGAAAAGCCATTTAATCTGCGAATATCCAATCCACCAAATTACTTTCGCATCTGTATTGAAAATATATTGGTAAAGTAATTATCCCAAATGTAAGCAAAATTCCTAGCCATAACTTCAACACCACTCTGGTCAAAGCCACTGTAAAAATACCGTTACTGTAATTACTCAATTGCCATTGTGACTAACATTATGAACCGTACAACTCTGTCACCTACAACTGTACTCTCTTATGAATTGCAATACCTTGAGAATTTTGGCAGTGATTTATTATTTTTGTCCCACATATTTTAATCACACAGCCATTTAAATCAAATTCTACTGTGGATATGAATATCTTTGACTTGAAACAAGTAAGTGCTGAGTTCTTTATAAGTTAAGATTTCGCTTTCTTGTTGAACCCACAAAAATGGAAAACTAAATACAGACTAGTTCAAATAGGATGAAATAAACTGACAAAAGCATGCAAATTACGAAAGTATGTATAAAAGAATTATGCACATACCTGACTGAAGGATTTACAACTAAAAATTAGTTGTTAGAGGAATGAATGGTGAAAGCTAAAAATAACAACAATTTCTAACATATAAACATGATGCACGGTGAGTAGAAACAAAAAATACAGTGAAACATACAAGTTACCAATACGGATTTTATGCCTTTCCTAATCTTTCTCGCTTCAATTTATTACTGACATTCAACTCCGAACACAAATTAATTCATAAGCTATGCTTCAGTTTATGAAAAAGTTTATCATAATCCTTATATTTTTGCTTAATTTAAAGTGAAAATAATTAGAAATTCATAGCTTTACATTATCTGTCATTCATATTTATCTAAGAAAAATAATTACATGATCAGCGAAAAGTAATTCTTAACTTACTACAAATTTTTGCAAATCTCTTCGACAATAAACTTCATGTCAGAAAGTTACCATAAACATATGAAAGACTAAGTGAGAAATTTCTCATATAAACACTGAAGGCATACAAACTATGTTTTCATAAAAACTGATGTAACAAAACAACAACAGACGGACAAAAAAGGCACCTGATACTAATAAGATCTTTCCTAGCACAACAATATTGAGAATACGACGAAGTATGATACAAATAAATGATATTCCTGATTTCTTCCCTATCACTACCAAAATTTACATTCATTCAAAGTAAGATAAACCGTTGATATTGCATGTAATAATGTTAACAATGAAAGAGCAAAATTTTTAACTGGGAACGGAACATATGATGTGAAAAATAAAAGTCTGGTAATGTGAGAAAGTCAGTCGACAAAAAAAGGTAAGGCTATGAAATTGATTCTTCATCTGGAGAGCTGTTACCACTGTAAACATTACGAACATCATTGAGCAGCGAATCCGAATCAAGCATCTTCGGCACACGTTGCCAGAATGGGCTTGCTGATGTAGAAACACTTCCAGCAAAACGTTTTTTCACATTTCCTACGTCAAATCGCATTTTCGGTTCCCGGTCACGACTCTGAGATAAAGAAAGAGCACTTCTGATGAGTTTCGGCCACCTATAGAAATATATTTTAGACATCGGCAGAATTCAAATACCTTTCAGCAACACTGAAAAGTATACCAGAAAAATTACAAATAATGAGATCATTCCCGAAAATCACGTTGATTGAAGTGAAATAAACTCTTCTATTTATCTCTAAATCAAAGATAAAAGAAAAGATTGTAATCAGATGTCAATAGAAACCTTGGCTCAAATATTTTCGCTAAACAGAAAAATGTATAGGTATGCAATACTGACATAGGTGAAAATTTGCTAGCTAAAACTGATATGACAAAATATAACTAAGAAACATCTTCAACCGATGAATCTAGTAAATTTGTTTTCAAAAAATGTTAAAAGCTGCAAATAATTATGTCTTAGTTGCGATCAATTTATTGAAGCTCTTCTGTTCTGTTCGTAGTCTTTACTCTTATTTCATTCATCCAGCCTTTCAGCTTACCTCGCCATATTTCCAAACGTCGTCAGCATATCTATATTACTTCCAGGATATTTTGTATTAACCAAACCTCTCATCTTTTTCATGACCGATATGTCCACGTTTTCTTTAAGTTGATTAGAATTATCCACAAAAGACAAAGAAGATGACAATGTCCTATAATAATAAACCTTATTGTGATGAGTTGTAAATGAAACAAAATATAGTACAATTTAATTTTTGTGAATCTTAATATGGCTTAAATACATACTTCATTAAATTTATAAGAAATTAACAAATAAATATGCGATATCAACATAAGAAAGTGAAAATTTAGTATGTCAAGATTCCCAAGAATCCTAATATAGTGTTTTCAAGAACCAAAAAGACATCAAGTTCCTTATTCGCTGCATCAGTTAATCTTTGCAAAAATGATTATTCTTAAATGCTTGATAAAACTTATCAACTACTTTTTTCGTATTGGCATGAATCTACCTAAACTTTTAAATGTAAAAAAAAGTGATGTACCTCTCAAATTAATTAAAACGAAAATTTCTTCTAATCATCATAACCTCTACACTACAACAAGAGCACTTTAAACGTTAAATATGAATAGATTCATCCACAAAAAATGTGATACGTGCATATCACATGCCTGCAGGGACGAACAGTAGACATTTCAGCCTGAGTAGATTTTAACCATTTTCTATCGTTACTATGACTATCACCATGAATATTGTGAGATCCCATATTAGCACGAAGTGAAGCACATTCAATGATCCGACGAAGTAAAGATGGTTCTTTTCCTAACAACGAAATTGAGGATCCTTTGATAACAGCTAAATGAAGAAATATTAACTCACTTTTTTTTAACTCAGTCTTTTCCTGAAGACATGAAATTACTAAACACTAGTAATTACCCAAATCTGAACTACTTGGATGTCTATGACGAGTAAATAACCGAGTATGTCAGACAGGACCACATTATTTGAAATTAAATCTTTTCTGGAAGAAATCGTAGTGGTGGAATATTGGATAACCCATTCTTTTACACAATAAATTTATAAGATAAGTTCCATGCCTGAAGTTGATAATCTGTTACGTCCAGTCGTTCGAGAGAAAATGCTTGGAGTCAGTTTTTCATCAAGCAATAATTCAGATTCGTTCTTGATTGCAAATGTTGTATTTTTGCGAGAAATTAACCAGTATGTTGTCATCAGTCCTTTTCCCTGCAATGTTCTAAACTTAGAAATTTTCACTTGTTAGCAGCTACAAAATGCTGCTAGTGTCACTAAGTGTCAAGTATTCATATAAGATGTTTCGCTTTTGAAATACCTCATTTTACTGTTCAATGAAACACGAATCTGATCATCTCAGTCCAACAAGTAATAGTTAACCTTAATTTGCATTGTTCCTCGTTTCTTCAACTCAAAACCATCAATTTCAGCCAGAATGTTATGTGTTAGTTCGCTACAGTGGATTTTCAACGCTATAATACTGTCGAATTTGTACCGATGCTATCAAATATGGAAATCCCAATGTGGTCTGTGTTTAACATACCACATTCCCTTGTGATAATCTGACTTCCTTCATTTCAAAAAAGGAGAACACAGAATTATAACTACCAAGAGATTTTCAAAGACTTTTCTGAGCCAAACATAATTTTACATTATTAAAAACCACAAATTTTTCTTTATATTTCAGAAAAGCAAAGCTTTGGTGGAAACTTACGATAACCATTGCTTTCCATACGTGATGCCGTATTAACTGTATCTCCAAATAAGCAATATCGCGGCATTGTTTTACCAACAACACCAGCCACACATGGTCCCGTATGTAAACCAATACGTAGACGAAGTTGCTGCTTAGGGAGATGAGGAATTGTGAAATTCCGAACAGCTGCAAGAAGATGAAGAGCCATCATACCAATCTGTTCAGCATGGACATTTGCAGGACGAGCTTCAGGCATCCCGGAGACGACCATGTAGGCATCACCTATTGTTTCCACCTAATAATATTAAACGCTACAACAGATGATATATTAATGTTATACTAATGAATAAATTTAGCATGATTTATTTTCCGTTTACTAATGCATGCTCCGAGTAAGGTCAAATATACAATTTCTGGAATTTAAGAACCATATTTTATCAGCAAAATATTCACAGAATCATAGACGTTAGGCAACCTTGTAAACATCATATTGCTTGATAATGTGATCAAATAACGTATACAGTTTGTTGAGAAATTCCACTACTTCTAAAGGAGTTGATCTGCTGGAGATTTCTGTAAAATCAACAATATCGGAAAAATATATGGTAACAGAAGAAAACGACTCCGGAACTACATCCTTTCCAGCAAGCAACTGTTGTACTACAGAACTGAAATAACACTGAACAATTAGAACTGGCATTGTTTGTATTTGTGATGGGTTTGAAATTCCTTACTTACAAAATATTACTAGAAAAGAACAAAAGCACCATTTTCCCAATTATTTTAATCGACTGGGTTCGATTAATGCAACTAAAATTTATCTCAAACTATATAGTATTTTTTTTCCTCTGTAGGGAACAGAAACATTCAAATTCTCATGAAACCATGAAAACGTACACAGGTAGCATCCGCTGAAGCAAATTTTCTGTTCTTCGTTTTTCTTCTCTTAATTCTGTTGTGCGATCTTCCACTAAATCTTCCAGTTGATTTTGATATTTTTCCATCATTAGCATTATATGATCCTCAAATTTTAATGTATGTAGAGTCATAATATATAACACATTATATTTGATGAGGTCGTGAATAAATTTCGTAATCTTACCATAATATTTCTTTTATAGATTGCTTCAAACATGGGTTTCAGTTTATGTCTAATAACTCGAAAATTCGGTCGATTCTCAGCGACGGCAGACCAACTCTTCGTCATAATATCAATTACATAACTAGCTGCTGACAAACTGTCACAAGATGGGCGATAATTAGCCTCATTAAGAACACTGAGGACTACTTCTGCAATCCTCTTCTTTCTTATTGAACTTAAAGTGATGATTTATTACCATAAATTGGTCAAAATGTTTTCTAATGATTTCATTCCTTCTAGACAAAAAAATTTCTCTGAATAATAAGTAAAAAATATATGAGTATGAACGTGAGTACATTGCCGACAGAAGAAATCCAGGCACCAAATGATTTTTTAGACTAATAAATATGAAGAAAAATACAGTGCTCTGCTCTTTCCTATGACCTTCAGTAAGAAAACTTTCAAACAAAATTACCTTCTGCTGTTAAAGAATTATTTTCAAGCATCATAAATGGACCCTGTCGAGTGATTATTTCATGTAAGATAATACCGAAAGAATAAGTATCGCCTTTTTGTGTACCCTTAATGACACGCACGCATCCGCTTTCTCGAAGCAATTCCGGTGCTGTCCACAAGAGATTTTCCCACTAAATCCAACCAAAAATTATTAGACAAGTAATCATCAAAATAAGGAAAATGGGCTTAGAAGATTATAGAATATGAAGTTGCATACGATACCATAAAATCAACGTTTTCCCATTCTTGGCCTTCTCTAATTTCATGCAAACCGAAATCAGCTACTTGCAAAGTCCATCGACTTGTAATCAAGCAATTGGTTGATTTCAAATTTCCGTGTACTCCTAATTCTGACTCATGGAGATAAATCATTCCCTTCAAACAAAGACATTATATGCAGAAACTAAATAAATAGATATGAAATGTACATAAAAAGTGATAAAGTGGTAAGATTTGTCGGATACCTTTACAAGATCCTCAACAAACGATGCGATAAATAAATGATCTAACTTGATATTCTGATTACGAAGAATATCCATCAACGAGCTTTTTGCACAAAATTCCTTTACTATACATATAGATGAATGGCCAATCACTATTCCTATATATCTGATGATAATATATATTATTCTGCAAGGATATCTTATAAAATTTAGAGCAAGTGACTTAAAGCCATGCACTAATTAAAATATGATATGAACGAATTATATACCCATGAACGAGTTAACATTATCATGATGTAGCTGACGCATAATTCTCATCTCCAATTTTGCTGCGCGAGTTAATTCCTTCGTTTTACGAGGATAAGTGATTTCATCAACTGATACCAAAGCTCCTTTGTAAAGCGCAACGCCACACAAACCGGACCATCGTTTTTCCTGATTACATTCTTCACTACTTTGCAACGATGTCTAAAAATCAATGTCAAAATACTATTAAAAAATAAGATAAACAGTTACAAATTAAAGAAGGATATATTAATTTTTTACTGATTATTTACCGTTTGCTCTACGACAGTCTCAACTTGAATCCAAAAACTTCCATTACATGATCTGAGTAATTTGCGCTTATGAACAATACAAATTAAATAAGAACCATTTGAATTTCAAAATAATATTTTGAATGGACCCACAAAAATTGATGAAAAATTAGTTACATAAAAGCTTACCTGATTATCTTCGAGAACATAAAGGGAAGCAGCTGATTCACAACACTGTACGACTTTTTCGATCTCACGAAAATCGATTTTCCAAACACTCGACAGCTCTTTTTCAAACTTGTAATTTCTGAAATCATTCCAACAAATATATGACATAACTAAGGAATATGATGACTATTAATTGCTATTTTCAACCCATCAAAAATTTTGAGAGAGCCTAGAGATAAATTTAGAAAAAATATATAAAAAGCAGTAATCGAATAACTTCTAAAATATTCTTTCCAAAGTAATAAGTAGAAATACTGAGCAATGATTGAAAAATTTTTTAACATACCGATAAAGCATTACGCTTCTAATCACAATGAAGAAAAGAAGCATCATGATTACTACTAGAATAACTGCGAACCACCAGTCTGAAGTATATGACATGAATAGTACAATGAACTACAGTGCTACTAACAAAAGCGATATGACAGTATACAATACATTGTGATAAAGATTACAAATAGGATTTGAATGTTTAGGACAGCTATTTCATACGACAACCTACGATAAACTCAGAAACCAAGGTTTCGTGAAGTCCATTACATGCAAAACACGAGAAAAGTCAAAGAATTCATAATGAAAAAAACTCCGCTTACTAAATTTGTGGTAAACAATTACAACCTTTATTACAGATTTTTCCATGAAAACCACACAGAGGTTCATCATAAGGTGCATGTCCAGAAGGCCAATGAATATGTTGCTTGAAACGCAGAAGAGGAAGATCACCGGAAAAGTCGTGCACGAAGTCAGCAGTGATAGAAAGACCATATTTGAGAGGGTAATAATCCGGATTATTTACATCCAATACTGGTTCTACTTCTTGCAATGAAAGTAAAGTATAATTACCTTCTGCATCTCCGTTGTTGTTGATATGCATATCAAACCCTTGTATACCTGAAAAAGTTGAACTTTCTTCATTCCAGACCCTAAAAATGTAATTTTCTTTTTAGAAAAAGTGAACTATAAATGATAGAAAAGCAACAATTTGATATTTGTTACTTCGATATACACGTCCAAGAATGTGAGTGATAATTCGCTTTCCATCACAAACAGGATTATAACCACTAGAAAGCTGCTCTCTGGTGGTCTCATTCAATACTACCGTTAACGCTAATGCATATATCTTCACTGCATCATATAAATAACATGCAAAACGATTTGCCTATAATGTGTTATTTGGAAAACAAATTATTTCATCCAAACTGATGATTTTTTACAAGCATTAGACATAATAATTGTTGTCATTCAAAACTTGAAATACAATGAGAATATTAAATAAATTAACAGCCTAATTGCTCTAAGATCATTGTTTATTCCCAAAAAATTCTATACTTTGATGGAAGTTGAAGTACCACGTTGCTTTACACCGAATAATGATAAGTAATGGTTTGCTTTACGCCAAAATGATTTGAATTCAGGTGTACTTAACTGCACAGGTGTCGGAATGATCGCCAGAGCAGATCTTGAAAAATTTACCACTTTCCGATCTTGTGAATTCAAATCATCCCATGATTGCCTTACCGAAACTAGAGTATCTTTAACAAAAATTTTATAGGAAAATAAAAAGTAATACATAAAAAAATAGAAATACAAATACAACAAGATACACCCAATCAAAATTTTTTGAAATCAAATCAAAAACTAAATTTTTTTAAAAAATGAATGAAAAACAAACTTCTAAAGAAGTGATTGTTCATCGCATGATAAGTGTTCAACCAATCATAATCTGGATCTATATAAATAAGTGCATAATCACCAGCATCCATTAAACCTTGGGCTCCCATTTCTAGAAGTATCCGACGAAACAAGCGAACATTCCCAAATGTAAGATAAACTATAAAGCCAACGAATGAGTATTCAAATCGTGTAAGGGAAATGTTTTATTAATAACTCCATGAATATAAATTTTTAAATTCGTAGAATCTTGAATTATCTCAACTAATAAACATGAATAAAAGAAGACTTGCTTCTGGTTGAAGCCAATGTGCTAGATATAATTTGAGCAACGTTACTTTCCTCGACTTCTGAAAACGGGTGAGGTACGGTACTCACATTCAAAATTGTATAACGTGAATCCTCCATTGTCAAACGGCCATGCTGCTTGTCAATAGCACTCTATAGTGAAACAATTTTCTTTTTTTTGTTTGTCTTTTTTTCAAAATAATCAACACTTTTCCGCACCCAATATTACTAAGCCACTATGGTACAGATAATAAGTTATACTTCATCTTATGCAAATGAAAACAAAACAATCCCAGTGCACGAGACGAAATAGTTTCTTTTACACAAAATACAGAGTGGATTCGCACGAAATTATAAACAGAGAAACTGAATTTGGTAAATAATAGATTTCAATAAAATTATTAAAAACTTTGAAATACCTTAATTGAACTAAATAATTCCTCGTTCGCTATATTTTTTTCATAAATTATTGAAAATTTATACCATTTGAAATGCTTGAGAAGCGCAATTAAAGCAGCAGTTATCTCTGTTCCCGCTGGTACAGTTCTAGCAAATGTTGGATATCTGAAAGTTACAAAAGAAACGACAGAAAGCACTAATTTTTTTCATTCAACTATTGTCTATTATCTGGCAAATGTTTCATTTTAAAAGTATAATCCAAAAAAAGTACTTGGACTTGTCAGACATCGTTTCATCTTTACACTTGTAAGACAAAATAGGCAAATTCTGAGCTGCAGCCATTGTTGCTTCTGTTCTACAATTCATTTCTGGACCGATGAATACTTTGGCGCCTAAAGCCCAGTGCTGCATAAAAAACCGTGTACCTAAAATTGAGTTCACATGATAAGCAGAATATAATGAAACCATACCACAAAATAAATAGTAACATTCCCAATGAAAAGAAAAACAAATGACTTTTTTGTTCGTCTCCACAAGTATTGTTGAAAATATAGGCTAGCTTATAATTTGGCAATAATGCTGAATCTGCATTTACATCATCCACGGCTACTTTTAAAGCTCCAGATATCATAGAACCTTAAATTACACATACATAAATTCGATACCGGAATATAAGGTGATTGTTTTAAATTATCAGTTATTGCCCATAAGTACTTAAGCATTACCTTCAAAGTCTGTTCTGAAACACTTTGACAAAAACCCGTAATTTTTATCTTTCTCAGCGGTTTCGTCCACATTACTTGCCTGAAAAAAAGTGATTTAAATCTTTTTGCTACATGGCTCCTCCATACTTCTTTCGAAAACGAAACATTTAAGTATGAAAGTAGAAGACCTGATCATTTTAATCATTATTTTGCATGGATGTAGTAGTTATGGAAAACAACTCAACAGTAGTTTCTCGAAATTCAAACATATAGTAGTAGCAAAAAGATACTAAAACCTCAGAGAGTAACTTTAAGGAGTCAAAGAGATTCTTTGGAAATTGACTTATTGCGGCTAGATATGATATCAGGATTACATGATCTTCCTCGGGTTCTCGACCCAGTTTGGTTTCATTGACATACTATAAAAATTTAATTCAAAAACTGAACAAAGAATAAGTGGAATTTTCTTTCTTAGATTGGAATTCAAGTAAAAATAATAGGTAGTAATCTCGGTAATATTTAGGAATATAAAACAAGACACATATGTACGTTTTAAAATGTAAGGTTGAAGAATTTATGAAAACATAATAACGTGAAAGAGCGGTAAAATATGAACAGAATCATAATTCCTGCTCAACATAATTTTTTTTCGTAAAATTATATAAAAATTTTGTGAAGCATAAAATATTAAAAAAAAATATTTTTCGTTATTTGCAAATAAAAAAGATGGCAACGTAGTGCATATTTTAATAAAGGGTTTAATATAACAATGATGAAAAATGTGTTAACAAACTTCTACGAGTAATTGTTGGTCAGTAGACAATGTCCTTTTATAATCCACTTCTGCTGCTTTTTCATAGTTAATATAACACATTAACCACAATGTCATTAGTAAGAACATGTTTAACACATACATAATCACTCACATCTGAAAACTAACTAATTAAAATAACTATCTTTTCCTGCACATTTGCTCATTTACGATTACTCGAGCTTTTAATACTCTAATGCATCCAAGTTAGTTTTATCTTCTTTTTGCTTGAACATAATATATACTACTATAAAGATAAAATCCTGTCTTGATCAGAATATACTAAAGCAATTTTTGGAAAGTAACAAATTACTGAATAATAAAATCTGTGGAACCATATATTATTTTTTAAAAGTGAATATTACTTCTGTAAATTATGATCAGAAAACCCAACAATAATCTATTACCATTATTATTAAGCATTACGACAACCAATTATTCATATTCAGTGATAGATTACAAAATTCCTTACTTCAACAACACAACCAGTGTTTGTTTTCATTTCTGCCTAGTGATATGAAAACAGTCATGACAATACTCATTAGGGCTGCGTTAAATTTTCTTCTATGAAAAAGTGATAAGTAGCTTTTACGTTGCTAAGTTTACTAGATGCGGTGTACTGGTGGGACTAGTTAGCACCATTCCTGAACTGGATTTTAGATTAGTCTATTTGTTTGCATGATTTCATCATTTTTTCTTCTAATGTTTCGAATTATTCTAGTACTTTTATTCTGAATTTTGGTAATTATTAGATTATTACAGCACTTGTGAACTGATTATGACTTCGTTACTTGCATAATTCACTTATCCGATCATATTATATTGTAAGATTTATTACAAGTTTTATGGACTGAATTGAGTTGCAATCGGTCAACGATTTTGTTAGCAGTGTTTAATTTCTAAAGCATTTTTACATTTTTTTGTTCAATAAAATTATCCCAGTTTAATGGTCATTTTTATCATTGTTTTATTTTGTTCTACGATGACTAATTTTGTTGATATCATTATAGTAATGCTGCTAATTTGAACTGTAAATCCAGCACTTTTTAACTTTTTTGATATTATTTTTCTATAAATATTCCAGCAAAGCTAGTCCACTTTCCATATATTCTGAATGTTACTTTCATGAAAAAAGAAGTTACTCATGAAATTAACTTCTTTATTGTGGAATCCCGTTGTGCGCAATTCCAAAGGTATAGCCATTTGGCGTGAATCAAGTCAGTCGAAATTCCCCAGAGGCTTTGCTAGTCGGCGGTTCGCTCTTCATAAGGTTGATTTGTTAATTTAACAGAAGTAGTTAAGCATTTTCTGTCATATTAATTTTTGTGTATGTTGTATTTCAGAGTGACACACTTATTTCTAATGTAATAATATAATTGTATGTAGAGCTTTATAATGTAATCGTTTCTTAACATTATGTTGAGCATAAGCAGTGCAGTCTAAGCTATGTGACTAAACTTCAGCAGCCATCCACATACTGCTTGCTAATGAACACATATCTGGCATGTATCCAAATTAAACTAATCTGAAGTATTGGCTTAGTAAATTTCAGCTTCTGCGTTCGTGAATTAAAAATTATGTATTTGCTCGTGCAAATGCAATTATGATTATTATACAATATAAAAGTAGCAAAGTTAGACGAGCATCACTTGACAGATATATTTTCTGTGAAGAAGTTCGCTTTCAGTCTCCTGCGCTCTACGCTTCTCTTCTCACACTGCTCGCTCTTTTTTTCCGAGTAAAAAGTGAAAAAAATAGGACATACATTCCGAGTAAGCTCACTGTAAATTTGAAGATTTGTTACAAATAAGTAGATGCTTTTTGTGCGTAGTTCGATTTGAAATCCCGTACGCATCGCTGATTTGTATACAAGTATCTGTCAATAATTCACTTTTATTTTGCAGAATGGGCTCGAAGTCAGAATCAAGAAGAAACAGCGACGTTGGTGGACCGGTCCGAACTGACGAAGTTTGTTTTATTTTGTAGATGTAGGCTCAGGTCAAGTAGTGTTTTTTATAACCGTCTACTGTGATGTAAATGTTTGTGGTATCTCTTGATATTAGATGAAACTAATAACTCTGGATATTATTTGAAAATAAAACTGGGACATGCATATTTTTACAGATTGAAAAGTTGATAAAAGAACCACCACCGGAAACGAGTAGTTTTCAGTTCCAACAGACTATGTTTCGTATCAAAGATCCACTGAAAACCTTGCCATTTTATTGCAATATTTTGGGCATGAGGTATTTGCAGTTCTTTATGCTTTGCAACACAGATTTACTACTTTCAGTAATGTTCGTCAATAATTTATTGAGCTTGTATTGCAGATTGTTATCAAAAATGGATTTTCCTGCGGGGCAATTTTCTTTGTATTTTTTGGGTTATAAATCAAAATCAGAGATTCCTGATGAACCCGTAAAGCGACAACATTACGCGTTGTCGACACTGGCAACTCTCGAATTAACTCAGTAAGCGTATAATCATTTAAAATTTGGATTGCTCGAATGGCTGATTGCAATCAAGTCGAACTTGAGTTTTTATTTCATTGTTACCATTATTTTTATAAATCCAAATTTTGATTTATTTCATAATCGAGTAATTTGCAAATTTCGTTTTCGAATCAATATTTCAGCAATTGGGGTACCGAAATTAATCCAGACTTCAGTTATCATAATGGGAATAAAGATCCGCGTGGATTTGGTGAGCTTTGTTATCGTTCATTTTCAGTGACTTTATAATATCTGTGATCTTGTATCAAGAAATTTATTAAAATTTTTATGTCATAAAGCATTTAAAGTGTATTGTAGACTTTATCTATAAATTACCTGATGAAATTATGAAACTATTTTCTCTTATGCATATGAGTAAAGTGGGCTTTATACAAAGTTACGCCAGTGAGAGCTCGAATAAATACATGTGGGATCATTTTTAGGTCATATTGGAATAATGGTGGATGATGTATACGCTGCATGTAAACGTTTTGAGGAATTAGGAGTTCAGTTTGTGAAAAAACCAGATGAAGGTCAAATGAAGGGACTGGCATTTATTGAGGATCCAGATGGCTACTGGATTGAAATATTTAATCCTAATATTATTGTCTGACGGGAATGTGAAATACTCTTCCTTTATTGCAAATTGCGTGCGCTTTTGATTTTTATAAAAATATATTCTATAAAATATTATTCATGACTTGTTACCAGCTATCAAATTAACGTGGACATAAAGAGTTTTTTTTTTTTTTTCAAATACTTTTTTGTACATTTCTAGATTTATCCTGTGAGATATTTGAGAGACCACAAGTCAGGTCTGTCAAGATAAAAAACTGTGAAATAGAATTGGAATAAACAGTTCCGGTGTCATACATAAACAAACAGTACTTAATGAACTACGTCTTTTGAAATTTGTATAGTCGTTTAAAGGCATAGTATGAGGATTTCTTAATAGTTCGAGGCCCTTTTTAGAAATCTCTCAGTGTAAACTATTTATTTACCAATTTGTGAGTGGGACCGCGCTGTCGTCATTGACTAAACTTAGTGTTGCAAGGACCATCTAGGCGCTGATACCAACCTTCTTTGCAGTTAATAATCTGATTGTAGTCATTTTCATAGTTCACGTCAAACATGTGCAACTTTCATATGTCGTAACACATTGCGTTGGTGAAGGCAAAATTTTTAAGCATTTTAAAAGTTGGTCATTTAACAGAGCAATAGAATAACTGCAATTTACTGAATACTTGTATACATGAATTAGCAACTTATGGTCCTGTAGGTCTCATCAAATTGTATGGATATTCACCTTTCGTTTTAGGACTGTACAGAAGGTTGGACCGATGTGGTATTGGGTCATGGGGCCCAGGTGTAGGTACATGTCCTGCGCAGTACACCTGAAATTCATTTAGCTATCGCTTAAAGATGTAAATTAGATCCATTTAAATTTCTTGATGTCATGAGATTCTATCTGAGTTATATGCAAGGTAAAATAATATTGTAAAATTCAGTAGTCAAAATTCAGTTACCTTAGTTTGAATGTTTTCAGATAATTATTGTTAAATGATTGTATAGAAAATTTGCTAACACAAAGTCTGATTACTTTTATTACAGCTTTTTGAAATTTTGATAGTGTTTATGTAGAAAATTTCGATGCAAGATAAGATAAAGAGTAAAACATAAATACGAAATACGAGAAGAAGAACGCTAAAATAGAAGTTTTACTTTGTCTTCAGAACTTTCAATTCCAAGCTGAAGTTGGAATATGAGAGAAATATTTTTCAGAGCAATAAAAATTGAAATGTAATGTTACCTCAAGATCTTGAGTATCATTTCTGTTGTTGTGGTATGTTTTAAGTGATAAACGTGATCCGCATATCCAGCATTTGAAGCAACCCTTTAATGTTTAAAAAAAATTAAACCTGCCAAACTTCATCATAATTTTTTATCCATATATGAATAATTCAGGATTACTCTTATTTATATAACTTTGATTTGTATTTCATGATAAATTAAGGTTTAAAATTATTTTGCGAATTTGCTTCACAAATTTCAGAATAAAATGTTTGAAGTTTACTAATTTAATACTATGAATAAGTAAGCATATTTGATTCTCTAACTTTTCAACTTGTACTAAACGTTAGATACTTGAAAATTCAATGAATTAAGTTTGCTAATAGTTAATTTATTCAGAGTAAAATTATTTGGCTTTGAAAAAATTCCTTTCCAAATTATTTCAACTAATTAAAATTTTTTCTTCAGAATCAAAAATTTATCATTATAGTTAATTATCATTTAAATAATTCAAAACTGCAATTAAATTGTTAACAATTTTAGAGTTATTTTTTTTTTATTTTTTCTTTTAACTAATAAAAACAAATCAAAAATGCAAAATAAATAATAACAAGAAAATTACTTTGTGAAAGAGTACGCCATCTTTTAGTGGTCCTATTTTGTCATTGAAATAAGTAGGCCGTTTACATCGAAAACAAGGCTCTTTCATTGCTTCACTTAATAAGTTTGCAACTGCAACGTAATAATAATAATATTATTATTATTATCATTATTTCATTGTTAGCATCAATTTTTCACTGTATTTTCAAAATGAATTAAATTTAAAAAAA